AATATGAAATAACACTGGCCTCTCAGAGTGTCCTTTTACTCACACAATGCTAGAAAAGACCGTTACCGTATAGTTTCAACTATAGACGCAGATATAAACGCGAAACAGCTGCTCCGAACGCCTGCGCGCGGGACAAGCGGTTTTTTGCCCGAACGCCGAGCGCGCACATGGAGCATCACTGTTTTGGCGCCCTGTACTAAGTCGTGCATATCGAAATTGACTATCCCGACGACTGGGTATGATTTTTATAGGTAAATACTATCGAAAGAGAAAATAAAAAAAAATAAATTTTTTTGACCCGACAAACTACGTAGAATAGCCACCTTAACATAGTTGATACTGAATAATTGTCTCTCTTTCTTTCATTCTCTTTCACTCTCTCTTCCTCTTTCTCTCTCTCTTCCTCTTTCTCTCTCTCTCTCTCTCTCTCTCTCTCTCTCTCTCTCTCTCTCTCTACTTGGTAAGTTCTCCTTCATCTTAATCGTGAGATAAAATATTCAAAAATTTCATTAGTAGGACCATAATTACGTTCCAGAAGATGGTAACAGTTTATAATTAGTATAGTTATTTATAAAGCCAAAACTTTAAATAAGAAATTAAAAACATCGTGTTTCTGTTAATTTAATTTAGAATATTTATTATTATGCTATATTGTACCATAATTATGTGAAAATAAAACAATATCTACGACCAACTGCGATTGTAGAACTTCAAGTTCATATCAATGATTGAAGTTATGTTTGGAAACTCAAAGCGATGCAGAACATATTTTAAATACAATAGAAGCAGCTGTAGATATGTATACATAATTTTAACATTACAACAAAAATATATTCGGTTCCCGAATATCATGGAGAGACAGTCAGATCGTGTATTATTGCGCAATAATTATTTAAGTATATAGAAAATTTACACATAGTTATAGTATTAGGTGTACAAATGAATAATCCAATTTTTTCAGTTACATTCAAGGTTTATTTTAAAAGAAAGTAAATTAAATTGTTCAATCAAAGTATTCGGCCGTTGCTTTCTATAACTTTAAGCCATCTTTCAGGCAGCCGATGAATTCCATCTCGGAAAAATGTTACGTCTTTGAACACAATAAAGTCGTCAAGCCATTTTCGGATCTCATCCACTGATTGGAAGTGCAACATGCCTTGTTCGATATGCACCTTGATCAGAACAAGTGGTAATCGGATGGAGCAATGTCTGGTGAATACGCCGGGTGCTGCAAGACGTCCCACTCATTATGGTGACTTTTGTATTGGAAGCAATGTGTGGCCTGGCGTTGTCATGCAACAATTTCACTGGACATTCTCTTTTGCCAGTATACGGGCGTTTTCGGTCCAATTCTTGACTCAAGTAGATTAATTGACGTTGGTAGCAGTCCGCAGTAACTGTTTCATCCGGTTCCAACAACTCATAATAAAGCATGCCCTTGATATCCCACCAAATACAGAGAAGAACCTTCTTTCCGAAGCGATTGGGTTTTGCGACTCATTTTGATGATTCGCCGGGATTTACCCATGACTTTCTGCGTTTCGGATTGTCATAGAGTATCCATTTCTCATCTCCCATAACGATTTTCCACAAGAAAGACTTTCGACGCTGCTTATTGAGAAGAGAAAGACACGCTGCCACTCGTTGATTTTTGTTGATTTCAGGGAGTTCAAGCAGAATCCATTTTCCTACTTTTTGGATCTTTCCCATCTCATGTAGACGTTTTTGGAAATCGTTTGCTGCGTTACTCCCAACTGTTCTGCAAGCTCTTTTTGTGTTTGTGCCGAATTCTCAACGAGCAGTTGTTCCAAATCCTCAATTTTTTATTATATCGTCTTTTTCTACTAATTAACTTTAACAACTTTTATTTGAAATATTTTTTCATTTTCCTAATATTTTTTGAGATATTTGGGAAAACTTGGTAATCTTTTTAATATTTAACATAAGATATCTCTCTAACTATTTATCGGAAGAAAAATAGTACTTTTTCTCTGGACGTATATGATGTTAAATAATCGCCTCTCTCTCTCTCTCCCCCCCTCTCTCCACCTCTCTCTCTCACTCTCTCTCTCTCTCTTTCTCTCTCATTCTCTCTGCTTGGAATAAGCTTGGAGTTTGCTAAGAAAAAACGTAAACATAATAAACATATTTTATATTCACTTGATCAAACCATCAAGCGCACTACTAGTCTGTTGGTAAAAACAATTTAAAAGCTTCCAACCATATATTATAAATCATTTCCCGAGTTACGAACGTTTATAATTCGTCCTACCTCCAAATATTATTTAGTTTGTCAACAATCCGCGTGATGTGCGCATAAGAAATACTTCCAAATATTTCTCCAGTGTCCTAAGAATAATCGACCGGTATACATCCGAGTGTGTTCTATGAATATAGAAATTTATTATTTTCACTGCGGTATCGAGTTTCGCATATTGTTTCCGAATTGATATTACAAACATATACATAATTATCCAATATATCATACAAAAATTGCCATGCAACAATCGCTTCCATTACCGTTGCTTTTTGGTCCATTGACAGTGGATCGTTACAATCAGTTCTTCAATCCAAACGTTTGTCATATTTGCAAGGCAACAGTTGCTTACAATTTCATAACATGTGATCATTGTCATATGGTCACTTACTGTAGTCAAAAACACAAACAGTTACACCAGTTGCAACATATACAAATCTGCATGATAGTTAAAGAAATATTAAACATGGACGAAGGATGGGACACTCGTCGATTAAGTAAGGAGGAATGGATCCAGTCGAGGGAGGAGTTGATATGTTTAATTAAGGGAAAACTGTCGCGTGATCTCGAATTCCATGAGTTTGAGATGATCATGTATGTAAAATCGTGTTCTATTTGTCGTCAACAGGCGAATCTGCGAACGTGCATGATATGCTTTTCCACCAACTATTGTAATGATCATGCAGAAGAATTTCAAAGTGTCCACAGCCTTAATTGCTACAACCAATTTTTAAATCTTAATCTAGAAGTCTCAATGATAAACAACATTTCAGTTTTATTAAAATACACTCTTTTACTTGGTATATACGAACCACTTATAGATATGCACACATTTATACAACGACATCTAAAATCAGGACTTTATAAGGAATTTAGCAATAATTTGCTTTCTTATAATTACTTATATTCTGAATTCGCATCAGGACCATTAACGCTATATCATGGACTGCGAGATATAATGTTATTTGATTCTTTAGATATACACGATAGTAACTACGTTATTCATATAATAGGCGCAAACCATCCTAAAGAATATACCCCGCCTTGGGAGCTTTTCTTGCATCTTTTAAATCATATACGGCGTTTAACAGTTGTAATAACAGAAGTGAAATCAATCCCAACATGTTATAGTATCGACGTTTGTAGTCACTGCAAAGCACGTAACCGAATAATTAACATTGAATATTATGCATTGCCATTTTATAATTATGTGCACATTAATACATATAAGCGACCAAATGTGAGTATAGGATTTCGAATAGATTTTAATGATAAGTCTACATGGCTGGAATCGGTTTTAAAATTACGTGAGCAAAACTGTCCCTTGTTTTTGACTTATATATCCAACTATGAAGCGGAAGAATGTATGGTTAAATTGTTTAGAATTTTAAATAGAGAATTAATTCCTTTATACAATAGCGAAAATAAATTTCAATCTTTAGCGCCATGTAGATACTCCGGGAGTGACGATGTGTTTTATCATAATAAGCATTTAGTTATCTTTTCGAATTTATATTAATTATCCAAATACATAAAAATCACTTGAAGCTTTCATAAACATTTGTAATATATATAAATATACATAAATATTTGTAATAAACATTTGTAATATCACTTTGTTATCATCTTTGCACATAATATGACAGATTGTATCATACATGACAGTTTGTATGACAGTGTGAGAATGCATATATATATGTATACGTGCGTGCACACGCATACACATGTTTATCATATGTATAAAACAACAGATATATATAATAAAAGTGTGTCTAAATATATATATGTGTCGGATTAATATTAAACATTTGAATCTGGTAGTTGAGTAAAAACACCAATAAATTTTCAAATTTACTAAAAATTGCAGAGTAAATTCGAGCACCACGAACAATAGATGTACATAACGAATAACGTTCATATCTTTATTTGATATTAAAAAATTTATAGTTTTATGTCTGTCCTTGAACTCGTTTTCCTATTAATTAAATAATGAAATTCTATTTTTGAAAGACAGAGTGAATGAGAATGAGAGAATAGTTTTAGAAAAGAAATAGTCTGTAAATTATTTTTATAAATATTTTTCTCTGAATACATATATTTTAAATAATCGACCCTTCCCCTCTCTCTCTCTCTCTCTCTCTCTCTCTCTCTCTCTCTCTCTCTCTCTCTTTCTCTCTCTCTCTTTCTCTCTCGCTCTGTTTGTGTGTGATTGCATGTAATAATTAATCAATTATATACAAAATTGATACATAATTTATAATTTTATTTTATTATAGTAATATATAAATTTCCATCTGCTTCATTACTGTCATATATGATTCATTGTAATATGCGTATGTATGTGCGCGCGCGCGTTTGTGAAAAATACATCATATTTATGAATAAATTATGAATGGTTATAATAAGAAATTTAGTTGCTTCACTGCTCTGCATGACAATAGTATTTATAAAAATTAAACAACACTCTACCATATGGATAAAAATCTTATATAACAAAACGTACATATCATTATTCACAATTTTTACGCTTTTATGAAGTATTCACATAATGAATATACTTTGGACACAAGCCTTTAATACAAGAAGATATTTAGATTATCAAAACTTATTATCGAAAAATACGAAGAAATTTGCAAATATTTGGATATATGTTAATTTTATAGAGGAAAACGATTAAAGTAAACGTGTATTTATACATAATATACGTATATAGAAGATGTCATGCATTAGAAATGCAGTGAAATTAAAATTAGAAAATACCGTTTAGTAATAACAGATATTAAATACCGTTAAATAACTCTTGGAGCGCTTATATGTTATATGTGCGAGTTTATAAGAAAAAAACATAAGCATACTGAACATATGTTTTGTAGTCGCTTTATCAAATTATTAAGTGCACTACTAATCTGTCGATAACAACAATTTGAAGCCTCCCAACCATATTTGGCACGTCCTTTCCCGAGTAAAGCGCGTTTGTAATTCGTTCTTCAAATATTATTTAGCTTGTCAATAATCCGCGTAGTGTGCGCGTAAAGAATACTTCTAAATATTTCTCCAGTGTCCTTAGAATAATCGACCGGTATACATCCGAATGTGTTTCGTGCATAAAGAAATTTATTATTTTCGCTACGGTACCAAGTTCCGTACATTGTTCACGAATTGATATCACAAATATATATATAATTGTCCAATACTTCATTCAAATATTAACATGTTAGCATTTTTTCAAATACCGGCGTTTCGTGGTCCAGTGACGGCGGATCGTTATAATTATTTCTTTAATCCAAACATTTGTCATGTTTGTAAGTTGATAATTTCTAGCAAATGGCTAAGATGTGATTATTGTGAAATGATCAGGTACTGTAGTCAGGAACACAAACGATTACACCAGCCGAAACACATGCAAATTTGCTGGGTAATAAAAAAATTATTAAAAATGAACGCAGGATGGGACACTCGTCGATCCAGTAGGAAGAAATGGATCCAGTCGAGGACGGAGTTGATATGTTTAATCCAAGAAAGACTGTCACGTAATCTCGAATTGCACGAGATGGAGATAATCATATACGCAAGATCGTGTCGTATTTGTTATCAACAAGCGAATTTACTAATGTGCACGATGTGCTATTCCACCAACTATTGCATTGAGCACGCAGAAATATTTCAAAGAGTCCATAGTTCCAATTGCCATAAACAATTTTTATGTCTCGTTCTAGATATCGCATTGGTAAACTATTTTGCAGATTTATTAAGATTCACTAGATCGCTCACTACATACGAATCAGTTATTGATATGTACGCATTTGTGGAAGAACATCTAAAAGCAAACGAAAAATATCACAAAAACCTACAGCATGTCCCGTTTCCTTATAGATATTTATATTCTGAATACGCATCGGCGCCGCTGACGTTATATCATGGGTTGCGACATACAAAGTTATTTGATTCTTTAGATGTACAAGATAGTAATTATGTTATTCATATCATAGGCGCAAAGTGTTATGATAAACATTATGTTCGCGCTTTTGAAATTTTTCTGCATCTTTTGTGTCATATACGGCATTTAACAATTGTAATGACAGACATGAAAATATACACAGGATGTTTTGATATCGGCGTTTGTACGGATTGTATAAATAATAACTCGAAGTTGACTATAGAGTCTTATTCTATGTCCTTTTGCAATTATATGCATAGTAATATGTATAAACGGTCAAATGTGATTGTAGGATTTCAGATAGATTTTAATGACATGCCTACATGGCCGGAAACGATTTTAGAAATACGCAAGCAAAACTGTCCTTTACTTTTAACCAGCATATCATTATTTGAAGGACTAGAGAACTTGAAAGTGTTGTTCACAGTTTTAAACACACGATTATCTCCTTTATACTTTGGCGAAAATAAATTTTGTTCCCTAGCGCCACGTAGAATTGTCGGGAGTGATAATATACTTTATCGTAATAAGTATTTAGTTATATTTTCGAATTTATATTAACTATTTGAACACATGCAAATTATTTGCAGCTATGATACACATTTGTTACATCACTTTGTTATCATCTTTGCAAATAATACGAACAATTGTATACTGTATAATGTACTTTGGCAGTGTGAGAATGTGTGTGTGTGCGCACGCGGCATATGCATACGCATGTTTATATATATACATATATATATATATAAAATGACACACAAACACACGTATATGTATATACATATGTATATATATATATACATACATACTTACGTATATATATGTATATATAATATACGTCTAACTATACATATACATCGGACTAAAACGAAATATCTGAATCTGATAGTTTCATATCGATAAATTTTCAAATTTTTAAAATATCAACAACTTTTCAAATTTGCTAAATACACTGACTAAAATTAGAACATAAGCTTCGACGAATGTAAACAACGAAAACGTGCGCATCTTTATTTGTTATTAAAAATGTATTTCTACCAAATGTAATTTCTGAAAAAATTTATTATTATTAAATTTTTTATTTTAGCAGAATACTGTGGATTTCACACAAAAACCTCAATGAAGAGCGTTGTTTGACTATAAGTTGTATTTATTACTTAAAGTTTCTTTTCAAATGATCTTATCCATCCTCTGCGTGCACATTTATGTTTCTCTAGAGACTTTGGGTTTTCCGCTGACAAGTGAGAAATATAAAATCAGTAATGTTAGGAATATGTGAGATGTTATATACAGGGTATGTCTAAAGTTTGATCCCACTAGGGTACTATTGTAACAATATATTCTTGCGACTAAATAGAGTAAAAAAGTCTAATACTATTTTTTCTTCCGACAAATAGTTAGAGAGATATCTTATGTTAAATATTAAAAAAGTTACCAAGTTTTCCCAAATATCTCAAAAAATATTACGAAAATGAAAAAATGTTTCAAACAAAAGTTGTTAAAGTTAATTGGTAGAAAAAGGTGATATAATAAAAAATTGGGATTTCTATTTCTAAGAAAAGTAATGATCAGTGAATATATCGAAAGTGGTACTATCTGTAAACAAAATATAGTTGTTATATGTCCCCTCCAATTGTTTTCGTATTAGTTAAATAGTGACATTATCATTCCGTTTTCGAGAGAGAGAGAGAGAGAGGGGGGGCGGAAGGGGGGAGGGCGGGAGGGAGGGAGAGGAAGAGGGAGAGGGAGATGGAGAAGGAGAGGGAGAGGGGGAGAGAGAGAAAGGAAGGGAAGGAGGGACAGCGAGAGAGAGAGAGAGAGAGAGAGAGAGAGAGAGAGAGGGAGAGGGAGGGAGAGAGCATAGTTTTTGACAAAGAAAACAGAAATCCCTAACAGAAATTTATTACTGGCTATAATAAATTGGCCAGTGATGATAAGTAATTTCATTACTCGTATGAGTAATAAAGTTACTCGTGCGAATAATCAAATTACTTTTTATCACTGGCCAATTTATTACAGCCAGTAATAAATTTTTCTAAGGGCTATAAATTATTTTTATATATTATTTTTCTTTGAATATATATGAGATATTAGATAATCGCCTTTCTTCCTCTCTCTCTCTCTTTCTCTCCTCTTTCTCTCCCTCTTTCCCTCTCTCTTCTTTTCTTTTTCTCTGTGCTTAGGAACTTCTTTTACATCTTAACTGTAAGTTAAAATACTCGAAAATTGCGTTAGTAGAAACACGATTACGTTGCCGAAGATGGTAATAGTTTGTAATTAGTATCGTTATTAATAAAACCGAAACTTGAAATAAGAAATGAATAACTTCGTTTTTTTTTTACTAATTCAATTTGGAATTTGGAATTTTGTGCTTCGTTGTACGATAATTATGTAAACAGAAAACAATATCCGTGACAAAATGCAATTATAGAAATTGAAGTTCATCTCAATGATAAGAAGTTGTATTTGAAGATTATTTCATCATTACGTGATCGAGACTGTCCGTTGCTTCTAACTGCCGCGATTCAAAGCGAAGTAAAACATATTAAATACAATAAAGCATTTCACATTTATTCTTTTATATTTTGGCGAAAATAAATTTCATTCTCTGGCGCCATGTAGAAGCTTTGGGAATGATGATGTGCTTTATGATAATAAACATTTAGTTATCTTTTCGAATTCATATTAATTATTCGAACACATGCAAATCATTTATTGCTTTCATTTGTTATATCATTTTGTCATGACCATTGTAAATAATATAATAATAATAATATAATAATAGAATATATAATAATATAATGATAGTATAATATTTTTTTAATATATAATGAAGTAAATACTTTGTTAATATTAATTTCAGTATTAACAATATTTATATCTGGTTTAATACCCAGATTTGAATATGACATAAAAAAAATTATTTTCTTATTTTATGTGTTTGTCCTTTTTGAGGTCAATAGATTTAACTAATTTACCTCGGGACGGACAAGTTTGTGTGTGTGTTTATATTAAACCGGAATGAAAAATGATCTTTAGAATTTAATCTGAGGAGACGAATATTTAAATACCGAATCTTTAATTTTTACCTTTTATAGTTGAAAGTCTTTTCACCTCAAGCAAATAATTAAGAATATTGTTTCGTAAAGGACTATCGCAAGGTATCACAATAATTGATCAAAATATTAAGAATGTGTTTTTTGTGTGTGAACCCGTTCAAGAAATTGTGTCTAAATCAATAAAATAAATCCATGAAATGATTTTATGAAATAATTCGTGCAATAAATGGTAAATGAATGTGTGATAGAGCAATTTAAAAATGAGTTCCGCTATTGTGTCGTTGCCTACTTTTATAGCCTGTAATGGTGAGAAACTCCCGCGCGAGTTGACATCACTCAGATAAGAAAAGGAGAAAAATGATTCTTAGTTATCGATGTCCAGCTCGAATTATATTCCTTATCAACCGTGAGAAATTTGGTTTATAAGCGCGCGGTGAAAATCCACCGTGCGAGTATGATATTAATCGATAGTTAATCGAATAGTTAATCGAATAATCACTGAAGGCACAAGCAGCATCTATGAATTATTTCATGGACGAGTTACGTGGACGTAACGGATTATAATAAAACATTTAGTTGCAGCTACATTGCTCTGCATTCAAATAGTACTTATAAAAATCAAACAACACTCTACCATGATTGGACAAAAAAATCTTGTATGTAAAACGTACCATTATTCACAGTTTAACGCTCTTATGAAGCATTCATATAATGAATATATTTTGGGCACAATCCTTTAAGACACAAAATACAGGAAGATATTTAGATTATCAGATACTGTAATTGAGAATAAACTTGCATATATTTGGATATATCCCAATTTTATATATAGACGGAAATGATTCAACTAAACGTGTGTTTAAACGTAGAACATGATATGTATAAAAAACACAATAAAATTATAATTAAAAAGCCGCTGGATAAACTAAGATATAAAATTGTATGCGAAGACAATTATATGCCATCCCTACGAGTTTGCAACGAAATAAAGTAAGCATACTAAATATATTTTTTTATTTTCGCATGATCAAATTATCAAGTGCATCACCAGTCCATTGGTAACAACAATTTGAAACCTCCCAATTATATTTTATAAATCATTTCCCAAGTAACGAACGTTTGTAATTCATCCTATCTTCAAGTATTATTTAGTTTGTCAACAATCCGTGCGGTGTGCGCGTAAGAAATATTTCCAAATATTTCTTCAGTATCCTTAGGATAATCGACCAGTATACATCCGAGTGTGTTCTATGAATATAGAAATTTATTATTTTCACTACAATACCGAGTTCTGCACAGTGTTCCCAAATTAATATAACAAACATATAAGTAATTCTCCAATATATCATACAAAAATTGCCATGGAACAATTGTCTCTATTACCATTGCTTCATGGTCCATTGACGGCAGATCGTTATAATAAGTTCTTCAATCCAAACATTTGTCATGTTTGCAAGGCAATAGCTACTTACAATTTCATAACATGTCATTTTTGTCACATAGTCACTTACTGTAGTCAGGAACACAAACAGTTACACCAGTCGCAACATATGCAAATCTGCATGATGGTAAAAAAGATATTAAACATGGACGAAGGATGGGACACTCGTCGATTAAGTAAGGAGGAATGGATCCAGTCGAGGGAGGACTTGATGCGTTTAATTAAGGAAGAACTGTCGCGTAATCTCGAATTCCACGAAGTGGCCATAATCATGTTTGCAAAATCGTGTCACATTTGTCATCAACAAGCGAATCTGCAAATGTGCATGTCGTGCTATTCCATTAACTATTGCAATGATCATGCGGAAGAATTTCAAAGCGTCCATAGTTCCAATTGCCACAACCAACGGTTATCTTTTAGTCTAGACATCACATCGATAAACAACTTTTCAAGGTTATTAAAATTCAATCTTTTATTCGATACGTATGAATCACTTATTGATATGCATTCGTTTGTTGAAAAATATCTAAAAACAGGACCTTATAAGGAATTAAACGATACTTTATTTGCTTATAAATATACATATTCTGAATTCGCATCAGGACCGCTAACACTATATCATGGACTGCGGAACACAATATTATTTGATTCTTTAGATATATACGATAGTAACTACGTTATTCATGTAATAAGCGTAAACTATTGTGATAGAGAACTTTTCTCATCTTGGGAGCTTTTCCTGCATCTTTTAAACCATATACAGCATTTAACAATTGTAATGATAGAAGTGTTATTTGGTACAAGAAATTTTAATATCGACGTTTGTAGTCAGTGCAGAGAACGTAACCGAATAATTACCATTGAATGTTATTCTATATCGTATTACAGTTATGTGCTCTCTAATTCATATAAGCGACCAAATGTGATTATAGGATTTCAAGCAAATTTTAATAATAAGCCTACATGGCCGGAAACGATTTTAGAATTACGTGAGCAAAATTGTCCCTTGTTTATAACATTTGCAACCATGTTTAAAGCTCAACAATGTATAGGTAAATTGTATACAGTTTTAAATATACCATTAGTTCCTTTATACTTAGGCGAAAATAAATTTCATTCCTTAGCACCATGTAGAATCGTCGGGCGTGATAATGTGGTTTATCGTAATAAGTATTTAGCTATCTTTAAGAATTTATATTAATTATTCGAACACATGCAAATCACTTGAAGCTATCATAATTACTTGTAATACCACTTTATCATCTTTGCAAATCATATGTTAGATTGTGCACAATTTGTATGAAACTGCGAGAATGCCTATGTGTATATGTGTATGCGCGCGTACGCATACACACGATTTTAACATACGTATAAAACAACGTATAAAACATACATAATAAATGTATGTCTAAATATACATACGTGTCGGATTGAAATTAAGTATTTGGATCTGACAGTTACGGTAAAAACGTCGATAAATTTTCAAATTGCTAAATATATTGTGTCAATTCGAGCACAACGGACAATGAAAGTAAATAAATGATGATACGCTTTATTATAATGAATATTTAGTTATTTGTATGTTCAATTTATATGATTTCTTTGTTCGAGCAGTTTCAAATCATCTAAAATTATCATAGACAATTGCAGTATCACTTTGTTATCATTTTTGTAAATGATATGAAAGTTTATATATAATTTATGGAGCAGTCTGTACTATGTGTGTAACCGCGCACGCGAACACACATACATGTTTTATATGTATGTAAAACACCGTATGGAATAAGATTATGTCTAAACATACACATACACATACCCATATTCAGATTAAAAAATACATTTTTGATTCTGGTAGTTGTGGTAAAGACATCGATAAACCTTCCAAATTTTTTAAAGATATTGTTAAAATTAGAAATTTTATGTGTAATGACAAAGGACTATAGTGTATATTTCATTATGATATTAATTTTACTTTTATTTCAAATTTGTAACTGTAGGATCTATCTTAATAATTTTGTATCTATCACAATAAAATGTGTTAATTGACAATCTGTTTCATTTATCATTTAAAATCGCTTTTTACATTGCTTTTTAAACGTCGTTTAACTGTGTGTATGTCTGGATTTCGTTCACGAAATAATTTTAAATAAGGAATAAATCGTGATTCATTTGATATATATATTTTTTTTTGCGTATTATATACATTTACATAATGGAATGAATTGAAATTATGTTTCGCTTACGTTTCTTATATTCTGCTAAAAGTTTATATTGTATATAATTAATTATTCTAACAGATGCAAATAATTTGAAGCTATCATAAACATTTGTAATATTACTTTGGTATTATTTTTGCAAATAATATGGAAGATGGTATAGTCTGTATGGCAGTGTGAGAATACATATGTATATATGTATATATGTGCGCGCATACATATAATTTACACATATACAAAACATAAGATATATATAATAAAAGTATGTCTAAATACTTATTACATATGTATGTCGGATTAGTATTAAATCTAGTATTGAATCTAGTAGTTGCGGTAGAAACATCGATAAATTTTCAAATTTGCTAAAAATTTAATATCATATTGAAATATATACTAGCCCTTTTTCATTACATATAGAATTTACAATTCTTATAATATCTTTAAAAAATTTGGAAGATTTACCGATGTCTTTACCACAACTACCACAATCAAAAATGTAGTTTTAATCCGATATGGATGTGTGTATATGTGTGTTTAGACACAATCTTATTCCATATGGCGTTTTACATACATATAAAACATATATGCGTGCTCGCGCACGCGGACGCACACATATACACACATGCTGCTCCATAACTCTGTAAATTGGAGCACAACAAATGTAAATAACGGAAACTTATATGTATTTTTGTATGCTATTAAAATTGTATTTCTGTTAAATTTACAATTTTAACAAAATACTGTCTCATATAAACCACTATGAAGAGCGTTATTTTACTGTAAATAATATTTGTCACTTAAAGTCTTTTTTTAAACAATTTTTTCCATTCTCTGCGTGCATGTCTCCGTTTCTCTAGAGACTTTGGGTTTTCCGCTGACAAGTGAGTAATATTAAGAATATATGAGATATCATCTATATAAATACAACGATAAAAATTATAATATGATATCATGTCATAATATCATTTCGTAGTTGTCATCTTAGTTGAGCAGTGACATTACTATTCCGTTTTTGAAAAAAGGAGAGAGAGAGATGGGATAGAAAGAGAGAGAGAGAGAGAGAGAGAGGGAGGATAGTTTTAATAAAGAAAAATTAGCAAGTTATTTTTATAAATTATTTTTCTCTGAACATATATAATATTGAATTATTGTCTCTCTCTCTCTCTCTCTCTCTCTCTCTCTCTCTCTTCCTTTTTTTCTTTCTGTGCTTGGGAACTTTTTCTGCATCTTAATCGTGAGATAAAATATTTGAGAATTGCACCAGTAGGAATACCAAAAGTTACGTTCCCGAAGATGGTAATAATTTGTAATTATAGTATCGTTATTCATAAAACTGAAGCTTTAAATAAGAAATTAGTAACTTTTTTTCTTATTAATTTAATTCAGAACGTTGAATATTACATATATATGCTGCGTTCTACCATTATTATATGTACAGAAAACACTATCCTCGACCAAATGTGACTATACAATTTCAAATTTACCACAATGATGGGAAGTTGTGTTCGGAAACTATTTTAGCATTAGGTGATCGAGACTGTTCGTTCTAACTACCGTAATTCAAAGCGGAGCAGAATATATTTTAAATACAGTAGAAACAACTTTAGATATACATGACTTAACATTACAACAAAAATATATTCGACTCCCGCAAATCGTGGAAAGACAGTCAGACCGCGTATTATTGCATAATAATTATTTAATTACATAAAAAATTTATACATAACTTAGAATTTTACTTTATTATAATAATTTCTGTGAGTCTGTGTGTGCATGCACGCACGCCTGTAAAAGATGCAACAATTTTATGAATAAATCTTAAATGGTTATAATAAAAAATTTAGTTGCAGCTATTGGGTTGACAACTAAGTGATTGCGGATTTTAAATAAGAATGAAAATTCAAAATTTTTAATTTGTTTTTAAAAATTTTTTTCAATGCATGTATGTGATACATTGAGCTTCTCTGCAATATCACGTGTTGTGCTACGACGATCTGAATCGATAATGGCCATGATATGGGTCTCATCGACTTCAACTGGACGGCCAGATCGTTAAGCATTTTTCAATGAAAAATCACCAGAACGAAATCTGGCAAACCAATTTTGACACTGCCTTTCTTTCAAGGCTTCATTCCCATATACGGCACATAACTTCTTGTGTGCTTGCGATGCGTTCTTGCCTTTTCGGAAATAATACAATAAAATATGTCTGAAGTGCACGTCTTGCTCTTCCATTTTTAAATTGGGATAAAAACAAAACTAAAGAACTAATCGATGTAATTTTTGTACTAAATGAAAGGTAGAAGTCCAAACAATAAGAAAAAATATAGGTTAGGCACTTTGAACACGTTAACGAAACAAAAGAAAGTATAAAATCCATCTGTCGACAAAATCCGCAATCACTTAGTTGCCAACCCAATACATTACTCTGCATTAAAATAGTACTTGTTAAAATCAAATAACATTTTACCATAAATAAAAAAATTTTGTATGCAAAACGTATCATTATTCACAGTTTTACTTATGAAGCATTCACATAATGAATATATTTTGGATACAAAATACAGGAGAATATTTAGATTATCAGATATTGTAATCGAGAAGTACAAATAAACTGGCATATATTTGGATATATCCCAATTTTATATATAGACGGAAATGATTCAACTAAACGTGTGTTTAAACGTAGAACATGATATGTATAAAAAACACAATAAAATTATAATTAAAAAGCCGCTGGATAAACTGAGATATAAAATTGTATGCGAAGACAATTATATGCCATCCCTACGAGTTTGCAACGAAATAAAGTAAGCATACTAAATATATTTTTTTATTTTCGCATGATCAAATTATCAAGTGCATCACCAGTCCATTGGTAACAACAATTTGAAACCTCCCAATTATATTTTATAAATCATTTCCCAAGTAACGAACGTTTGTAATTCATCCTATCTTCAAGTATTATTTAGTTCGTCAACAATCCGTGCGGTGTGCGCGTAAGAAATATTTCCAAATATTTCTTCAGTATCCTTAAGATAATCGACCAGTATACATCCGAGTGTGTTCCATGGATATAGAAATTTATTATTTTCACTACAATACCGAGTTCCGCACAGTGTTCCCAAATTAATATAACAAACATATAAGTAATTCTCCAATATATCATACAAAAATTGCCATGGAACAATTGTCTCTATCACCATTGCTTCATGGTCCACTGACGGCAGATCGTTATAATAAGTTCTTCAATCCAAACATTTGTCATGTTTGCAAGGCAATAGCTACTTACAATTTCATAACATGTGATTATTGTCACATAGTCATTTACTGTAGTCAGGAACACAAACAGTTACACCAGTCGCAACATATGCAAATCTGCATGATGGTAAAAAAGATATTAAACATGGACGAAGGATGGGACACTCGTCGATTAAGTAAGGAGGAATGGATCCAGTCGAGGGAGGACTTGATATGTTTAATTAAGGGAGAACTGTCGCGTAATCTCGAATTCCATGAAGTGGGCATGATCATGTTTGCAAAATCGTGTCACATTTGTCATCAACAAGCGAATCTGCAAATGTGCATGTCGTGCTATTCCATTAACTATTGCAATGATCATGCGGAAGAATTTCAAAGCGTCCATAGTTCCAATTGCCACAACCAACGGTTATCTTTTTATCTAGAAACCATATTGCTAAACAACTTTTCAAGGTTATTAAAATTCAATCTTTTATCCGATACGTATGAATCACTTATTGATATGCATTCATTTGTTGAAAAACATCTAAAAACAGGACCTTATATGGAATTATACGATACTTTATTTGCTTACAAATATACATATTCTGAATTCGCATCGGGATCGCTAACGCTATATCATGGACTGCGGGATATAATGTTATTTGATTCTTTAGATATACACGATAGTAACTACGTTATTCATATAATAAGCGCAAACTATTATGATAGAGAATTTTTCTCATCTTGGGAGCTTTTCCTGCATCTTTTAAATCATATACAGCATTTAACAATTGTAATGATAGAAATGTTATCTGGCACAAGAAATTTTAATATCGACGTTTGTAGTCAGTGCAGAGAACGTAACCGAATAATTACCATTGAATGTTATTCTATATCGTATTACAGTTATGTGCTCA